TATATATATATATATATATATATATATATATATATATATATATATCTTCATGGTATAAACGTTATAGAATTTTTTTAAATCGGAAAGTACAGAGACACAAATAACATATATATTCCGATAATTCATTATATGCTTTAACATTCGGTTTCAATTTGTCTTTATTGATTGGTTGTTAAAGGGCGGTAGTCGTTGCGCCATGCATGCGCGAGATATATTGGTCTTATATAAACAAAGACTTTGACTGTTCTGCAGATCACGGGGACTGTGTGTAGATCAACAAGTACGAGCTGAGACGTTTCCAAACTTTAATTAAGTAATTTTAGGTGATTGGAAAGTATCGAAGGAGTCACTGGCGGTAATCAGTGCAAGTCGCGCCCAGGTCAAACCTATCAATGTTTATCAACACAAATGTCGCACATGCGCAGCGCGACGACCACCGCGCTTTAATAAATGCGTCAAATTAACCCCTAAACCGTAAAGAAAAGAAATGGCAGTGCAATACCTCGAATGGCTACAGGTTTTCGTTTTATGACATATCTAGAAAAAAAGTCTTCTGGACTAATCATGTACTGCAACGTTTCCACAGCACCGATATTGTCGAAAAGTGTATCATGTTGTGTGCCGTCTCCAGACTTCCTGGTGTTCGTATCCGACGAATATTTCACTTGTGGATCTTCGTTGCAGCTATGCCCCTCTAACTCGGTGCTGGCGCCACAGTATTGGTACAAATACACCATCGACAACAAAGCTACTGAATGTGGAACACGCATTGCGTGTTATGAAGATGCGGGACAACTTATCTTTCTATCACATTCTCCGAGTCGTTCAGACAACAATGCGGAAGTAAACAGTGTCAATCCTAAACACGGAAGCAGGTAAAGGCTTTTTTAGGCTCGTTCGCAGTAAATAATTCCAAAATTTAATTGATGTATCAAAATATATACCTTTATTGGTGTATAATGTTCAATATTAGTATTATATCTATATAAGTAGGTAATTGTCAACTCAAAGACAATTAATCGTATTAAAAGAACAGTTACTTGTGTTACTAAAATCGAAGATGTGAACGAGAGTTGCGCAGTAGGTTACTAACAAAATAATGGCAGACGGCAGACTATTTGTTCAACTACTGACATAGAGAACTCGCCGTTTATTCGTATGTAAAGGGTCGTGGCAATGAATTGTGTACATATATAGTATCCCGGAATCTTTCTGTTTCTAACACGCCTCCCTGTGCTGTAAAGTAAGGAGAAACTGATTTCAACGATGTCTCTGTTCAGCGGCATGAAATTAAAGGTCGCGTCTTCTTCTGCAAGTGCAACTGCAAGTCATTTGTCAACCGATTCGATATCGAAGAGCGGTGCGACTTCTAAAACAGGGGAACAACGGGCTCAACAAAGCTCATTGACACTTCTCGATGCGGGTTCGTTAGTATGACATATTAGCTGCAGTACAGTAACTACATGTATTACTGTAAATACTTTATTTTAGCTGGAATTAATTTTCACTGAAAAGACTATTTGGGTGTTTTATATGGAATTTACTTCTCTGATTTTTTTGACAACTATAAAATATATTTTTTTTGACGAATTTAAAATTTAGGAAAAAATGTATATAGTTGCTGGATTTTATTTACACTGAATCATTCCTTCAGCGAAAATTAATTCCAAGCGAAGATAGAACATTTACAGTAGTTTATAGCTTCACCCTGTTTTCATCTCCTTTTTTTGTGCGTGTATTACAACCCTACCAGGTGTAATAACCCAACAATTTTTCTTTACAAACTTGCAATTTTTTTATATCACGGTTCACCACAATGAAAAAATGTTGTATTCACAGTTTTTTTTCCTTGCTTTGAAATTATATTATCACTGGGAGCTGAGGAACTATAAGTCACCAATGATTTACCTTTACTTTATCAGTATCAGTAAAAGAAATCATGGAAACTAAACATATTAGCTCTTCTCACGAATTCTGAGTGATTTTTTTTTTTTGATTTTTGTCACTTCGCTCATCCCCTCATACAGTCTGGGCATTCAAGTGATTATATAAACTTACTTGGCTCCTTGTGATAAGAAATGTGCATGTTCAATAGATGAGTTTAGAGTTCCTCCAGTTTCCTGGTAGCTGTAGATTTTGATCTACAACATTACCCTGTTTTAATTTTGTTATTGTTGATGTTTCTTTTAACATTTTCTCTTGTTGAACACTATATGCAGACAAGACATCAGCATTAAGTAAAAATACGACTGACCATGAGCCTATGAACTACAGCTATTTCTCTGATTGCTACAGTTTTAGCTGCTTCAATTGGACTATAATAAACTATTGTCATGGCCAGAGAGCTGCAGGACTCTACGTAGAGTAAACAAACAGTTTTTCTGTGATACATACTGTTAAGGTAGATCACTTAAAGGGTGGTAGTCGTCGTGCCACGCATGTGCGAGATATATGGGTCTTGTATAAACAAAGAGGGCGACTTTGACTGTTGTGCAGATCAACGAGTACAAACTGAAACGTTACAAAGCTTTAATTAGGTATTTTCAGGTGATTGGAAGGTATCGAAGAAGTCACTAGTGGTAATTAGTGCAAGTCACACCCAAGTCAAACATCGTACTTCAATTAGAAGAGCGCAATGGATTGTGGGAAAATCAATGTTTATCAACACATATGTCGCACATGCGCAGCGCAGCGACTACCGCCCTTTAAAATGACATGTGTGGTATGAATTGGTAGATTAAAAGTTGAAATCCACTCTCATTCTAGTTCTGTGGTGGGATAAATAACATTATTATTTTAATATGCTTCTTTTGATCGCTCAGAATATTATTAGATTTTATAGAAATGATATTAATATAAATATATAAGTGTTTGCTCTAGATTTGGACCTGCAGCTTCTTGGCCATAACATAGTGCAACACGGGCCAATCGGAGCTTCTAAAATTGCAGCAAGTTTCCTGGTTGATTCTTTTCTGAGTGTGCAGCCACAACATAAGAGGGCGGACAAACCAGTCGTTCTTTAGCTAGTGGAATAGAATTGCTCATAAAATACCTCGTAAACTATCTTAAATAGAAAATTTATATTTTTCACATTGGTATTGTATCCCTTCCTTCTTAGACACATGGTGACAATGAAACCAGAGAGCATGCAAGTTTTAGGTGCTCTCATCCATTGACAATAAACACAGATGAATAACAATTGGTTTTCTATTTCTAGGACTAAATACTGATATAGTTAAAAGTGACACAGTTTTGAGTGGTTCCATCAACAGTGAAAATACAGCTTCACAAGAAACAGTTGACTCAACATTACATGACGAGTGTCACAATGAGGATGAACTTAATAAACTAGGACACAATTCTGCAGAAAACATAACTTATTTTACAGGACATATTGAACCTTTGCAGAGTAAATTCAGTTCTGACCTTGAAGGCTTGGAGTTGAACTTTCAGATAGAGCAAACTGATGATGTTGATAACAATGAAAAAGATGAATGTGAAGTCCGAAAATGTGTTGATGAAGAGCAGGATGATGAAGTTGCTGATAATGATGTTAAGACAGAGGCTGTTGAATCTATTGATGGATGTAAGAGTGGTTTCAGTTTTATTGGAGATGAATCTTACGATCCCAAAGATGATGTAGTAGATTCAGAACCTCACAATGGCGATAAACCAATTGATTCTAGCAGTCAGCTGCCGCGCTATGAAATTCATTTAACAAAGAATGAAGAATTTGAGTTATTTTTACAAACAAGTGAAGCAAATATTAACAGTATCAGGTAAGCATTTCAGCCTGGATTTTTCAAACTCTTGACATTGTAAGAGTCAGGAGAAACCTTGTCCTACATGTGAAGAAAACCAAGATTACAAATCCAATAAGGCAACATAATAGTTCATAAATTTGGATATACAAGCTCAACTAGACAAAACTTGTTGTATGTGTTCAAACTAAAAATTATTAAATTTTTGATCAGGCCAAAAAAGAGTGATTTGTCAGTATTTTTGTTTCATGTTATATAATAGAGAGGATATATTAGAAGTTGAAAAAAAGCAACAGTACTTACTTGACAGCTACATCAATGTAAATGCTCAAAAATTAGGAAAAATTATGGAAGTGAAGAAATTACAAGATGAGCAGGCACAGTCTTTGCAGAATGAAGACTTTGAAAAAGGTGAGCATATATATCCCATTGAACAGTTATATTTTCAAGGGGTGACTAGGTTGGCAGTTTGTCATGTTTTTTTTATTTTACCTGAATCTGTTCTCAGAGGAGCAAATGTGGAATGTCTTTGTTTCTTTCAGTAACTTTTTTAATACACTCTTAATAAACCACTATCAGTAATAATGTCAACTTTTTTATGCACAGCTGTGGAAATTGACAACAAGATCCAAGCGCTACATGACCAAATAGAGTCCATGTCACAAACTACATTGCCATCGCTAGAGGAAATAACAAGTTTCACAAACACTATATCTAGTCTGTATAGTCAAGAAATTCAACTGAAAAGAGAGAATTTGAACAAAATGAACATTTACAAGACTAAAGAGGAAAATGAATTAGAAGAAAAGAGGAGGAAGTTTGCTGAGGGTTTGTCTAAAGAGGAAGAAGTAATAGAGTTGAAAAGAGTACAGCTACTAAAAGCTACAAGGTAAGTATTTATAGATTCGCTCATCTAAAGTTGCATTGAGATGGGACATTTAGGTTTTGTGACTGTTATGGTTTGAAAATGCAGAAATTATCAAAAATCTCACTGATTTTCAGTGCATTTGAATGTTGGCAATGGGCAATCTATCTGTGTTTGAATTTTTATTTTCTATGTTTTTGAATTGTATTTGAATAACATAGAATATTTCCTTCAAATGCATCTAATGCATTTCATATATTTTGACCTGCTGAGTTGGATATGTATAGCATTATGGCTTCGTTTAAATTTGAGCACTATATAGTAATCTGGCTATTAATATTAATATTAATATACAGTATTTGTGCTAGTGCAGAAGTACAAATAAATGATCACCTGTGATGTGATTCAAAATGTTCAACTGGCAGCCATGATGCTGATAATATGTACTTAATATATTTCCTAAACTTGATAACTCATGAGAACTATATGTAATGCAATTACTTGTTATAAACTGGACCATTCAATTATTACTTATTATTTTGGCCATAGACACACCACTGACATTCACTTATAAACATATGCGCTACTAATTGAGCAAATATGGTAATTATGTTTTCACTATTAAAAATATCCATTT